GCCCCTCACACCTCCAAAGGTTCTGATTCAGGGAACATGGCCAGCTCAGGCCACGTGCCCTTGGACGACCGCATCTGTGGTTCCCCTGCTCCCGCTCCAGCCTCTGCAAACACATTTCAGCCCTGCAGCCGTGAGGCCAGGAACCCGATCACGGCTTTCCCCTGCTGAGGGCCAGCGCACCCCTGCTCAGGGCCAGGACCCTAGGATCGAATCCAGAGCCCTCCCCCTGGCCCTAGGCCCTGGTCTCGCCCTGCCCACTCTCGCCCTTGGCCGCCGAGGTCCACCCACTCCCCGTTCCTCACGTTTGCCCCTCGGCCATGCACGCGCTGCTGGAGGTTTGCCTGGTGGTTCCCTCCAAGCCTCCCTGTGCGTCTGTCATCGTCCCTCCACTGTCTCCTTCATGGCACTGAGCACCATTTAATGACTCTGTTTGATCATGACTGTCTGCTCACCTCCCTCACTGCAACACCAGTCCTTGAGGGCAGGCACCCCCTCGGCCTTGCAGGCCTCTCCCTGGTACCCCACCCAGCACAGTGCCTGGCACACAGCGGGCTCACCATGAAGATCTGAGGAATAAATGAACACAGAACTACATCTGGAGACAGGGCATCTGAACATCCCCCACTTGAACTCGGAAAGTGGACCAGTAGGTCACAAGGGCAGGACACATGTTGGGGGGGGTGGGCATAAGCACATGGTGTTTGCAGGATGGACATAATAGAGTATCCTTTGCTTTCACAAAGAAACAGCCTCTTTGATGTCTTTTTTCATGAAACTCCAGGGCATCTTTGGCTAGTTTGTTTTCCTACTTTAGTCCAAACACATGGTTTGGAGAAGTCGTTCTATTTTTTCCCCTACAAGACGACAGAAAAATCAAAAGTTCAAGCACAAAAGTAAATGGTAACTGATGCTAGCTTTGGTACTGGGAAGACAACAGGGAGGAGTGCGGACTGTGGCAAACAGGGACACAGACCTACCAGACCGGCTAATGTTTTATTTCATTTTTTTAAGTAGACTCTACGCCCAACGTGGGGCTTGAGCTCATGACCTTGAGATCAAGAGTCACCTGCTCTGCTGACTGAGGGGCGCCTGGCTGGCTCGGTTGGTGGAGCAGGTGACTCTTAACTTGGGGTGGTGGGTTCAAGCCCCACATTGGGCATAGAGCTTACTTAAAAACAAAACAAAACAATAGACTGCCTAATATTTTAAATAAACCAGAAACTCAGAGTTTTTCATGAGAATCCTCCATTTAAGAAACCCTACGTTGACAGATCCAATCACATCAGAGTGCCAGATTCAGCACTGGGGGCCACCAGTTTGCAACCACTGATCTAGTCCACATGCAGTTAAAAGACCCAGGTGTTGGGGCGCCTGGGTGGCTCCGTCGTTGGGCGTCTACCTTCGGCTCGGGTCATGATCCCAGGGTCCTGGGATCGAGCCCTGTGTCGGGCTCCCTGCTCGGCGGGCAGCCTGCTTCTCCCTCTCCCACTCCCCTGCTTGTGTTCCTGCTCTCACTAACTCTCTCTCTCTGTCAAATAAATAAATAAAATCTTAAAAAAAAAATAGACCCAGGTGTTTTCTCTGCCATCATCCTCTGCTCACTCAAGCAGAGACCCTGGGCCTGAGAAAGTGCTGACTTGACTTCCTTCCATCCAGGCCATGAACCTCACAAGCCTGTCCTGTGTCCCAGCAGAGGAACCAAATAGGATTTTGAAAGAGCCTGGCCAGGAATTCACCCGTGGGTGGGTATCAGCGCTCAGCCATTCGGGAGCGCCCTGAGCGACCTGCCCCCATAAATCAGAGCGCACCCAAGAGGCAAACGTCTCTCTCTCTCTCTCTCTCTGCCATCTGGAGACTGCCCTGAAACTCCTCCTGAAAGAGGAAGTTCAAACCAGAAAAAGAGAGAAAGTAAAACACACAAAAAACTGGTTGAACAGAATACCCTAAAGGCACCGGAAACAGTAGAACACTCACCTGCCCGCCGATGTCGCATGCAACCCTGCAGCAGCGCCTGGATCCTGGGAGACAGACTGCAGTCCTGGGCACGGCTTCTGCCCTCCTCGCTAGCCACACCTCCCATGGCTCCCCCTCCCACCTGCTGTTCTTCTATCCTGAAGGGCACCCTGCTTCGTCCCACCCCAGGGCCTTTGCAGGTTTTGTTCCCTCTGCCTGGGTAATTTTTCTCCTCCTAGCCTGGCCAGGTCTCATTCACACTTTAGGGCTCAACCTAAAATGCTGCCGCCTCAAGGAAGCCCTCCCTGACTGCACCCCAAAAAAAGTCAGGTCCCTGGGCTTCCTCTTTCTTGCACATTCTTCAGTGGCTACCACTCAGGTCTCCGCTTCCCTGGAGAGACCTTGCCCGCCCCCTGTCTTGCTGACTCACACTGATACCCTCTACCACACCACCGCATCACCATCTAGAGCTTTTGTGGGTGATGTGTCTGTGGTCCAATGGTGTCCTGAGAGCAGGGCCCCTGCATGTTTCACTGCTGTCCCCAGCTCCTGGCACGTACGTAGTGGAGGTTCAAGGTGTTGCATGCAGCAGGCCCATTCACTGGGAACCCCAGGACACCCCTAGGACTGGAGTCGGCTGGTCTGGGATCCATTTAAAAGCCAGAAGTGGCCCCGGGAGAAGGGCCCAGCTGCCCAGGCCTGTTCCCAAACCAGATCTCCCTTTTCCAGCTCATTGACCCAGCTGCAAACAGCCTCAGTGTGGGGACCCACTAATGAATTAATCTTTAAGTAGAGGTTGCAAGTGACTCTGCTCCAGCAGTTTCTGCTTCTTCTGGTAAATAAACTTCAGACAGCGCTCTAAGTGGGTTTATTGCTGCACCGAGCTACAGGGAGCTGGGCTCTTCATTACATCCCTCACAAATGAGTGTGAGCCAGCCCGTCTCTGAGTTAAAGAGAGCCCTGAGTGAGAAAATGAAGTCAATACACGCAGTTTCTCTTGAAGGCTGCCCCTAATAGAGACAAAATGAAGCTGAGGTTCAGCCGCTGGGCACAATGACATCTCTCTGCTGAGAGCAAGGGAGAGAAGGAACGAGAAAGACACTCACATTCCTTGAACCAGTGAAAAACTGTAGACAACCCGAACGCCCGTCCCTGGGGGCAGAGGTCATAAGTTACAGTCCCTCCAGCGGATGGCACTGATCCTGTGAGGGCCTCCGTTTCCTCAGCTGTAAAATCGACCTAAAAACCTCCTGGCCACTGGGTCGGTGGGAACAAGGTTTGGGACACTGCTAGCACATAGTATGTGCCCAGGAAACAGGAGTAATTGTTACTTCTTTGTGGGATACTAGGAAGACAAAGAACGATAGAGACCTGCGCTCTCCCACACGGAAGCCACCAGCCTCACAGGACTATTGAACACTTAGAATGTGGCTGGTTCAATATAAAAGCTTGATTTGGGGCTGCCTGAGTGGCTCAGTCGGTTAAGTGTCCAACTCTTGATTTCAGCTCAGGTCATGATCTTGGGATCGTGAGATCAAGCCCCAGGACGGGCTCTGGGCTGGGAGTGGAATCTACTTAAGATTCTCTCTCCGTCGCCCTCTGCCCTTCCCCCTCCCCATCTCTCTCTCTCTCTCTCTCTCTCTCGCTTTCAAAAATAAAAAAGTAAAAAGCCTGATTTTGAAAACCTAGTACCAAAATAAAAGTAAAAATCTCGTTAAAATTTTTTTTACATTGATTACATGTTAAAACGATTGACATTTTGGAGGCACTGTTACTTTAAGTATATTGAGACTAATTTCACCTGTTTCTTTTTCCTTTTTTATGTGGCTCCCAGAACATTTCAAATTACATGAATGGCTCATATTTGTGGCTCAGATTATATTTCTATTGGACAGCTCTCATGGATACATTCTGACATGAAAATATGTCCACGCTATTTTGTAAAATTGAGATGTAATTCACGTATCATAAAATTCACCCTTTAGAAGTGTACAGTTCTGTGGTTTGCAGTATATTCACAAAGTTGTGCAACCATCACCACTAATTCCAGAACATTTTCATCACCCTGAAAAGCCCTGAACCTCATCATTAGCAGTCACTCCCCATTTGTCCATGCTATTTTGAGTGGAAAAAAGCAAATTGCAGAACAGTATTACAGTATCAAGTTGGGTTTGACAAAAAATAACACACAGTATTATTAATATATATGCCTACCCACGTTTGTAAATGCATTTTTTAAGTGTCTGGGATGAGGTACACCACACTGTTGGTGATGGTTATCTCTGGGGACTGGAGTTGGGGACGCAGAGAAAAAGGAGAGGGTGCTTACCCTTTATTGGCTGTACTTCCGTCCTGCTTTTGAGATTTAAAAAGAGAATGAGTTGAATTCAAGCCTTAAATAACTCCTGGCGGACTTGGATAAATAACTTTTTTCACGGCACTGTTAACAGACTGGCTTCAGCTGGAAGATGAAGGGCCTAGTTTCAGATCCACTTTTTATTCTGTGCTTTTAAAATAGAAAGTACAGATAGAGACGAGGTATTTTCCCTCTTAGCAACAGCAGGACCAAGGCCCGGGGCTTCCCCGCACAGACGCAGCCTGCCCGCCTCCTCCCGGGCCTCTGCACCCGGCTCGGAGCCGAGAGGGCTGAGCGCCCGGCCGGGGGCAGGATCCGGGGCCGGCCTCCCCAGGGCCTCGCCTGGCAAAGGGCAGCAGCTCCGAGCGCGCCTCGCTCCCCCGTCCCCGCCGATGCTGGGGGCCCTGGTCGGGATGCGACGCGAGTCTGGGTCCCCGGGGGCCTTGTCGGCTGGAGGAGGGAGCGGCGCGACCTGCCGCGGATCTCGGGGTGGCGCCAGGCATCACCTCTCCGCAAAGGAGGCGGCCCTCGGGCCCCTGCGCCGGGTGCGAGGGGATGCGGCGCGGACGCCAAGGATTCGGGTCCCGGCGCTCCGGAGGCCGCACCCACCCTTTCCTGCCCCGGCGTGCGAGGGCCCAGACCCCCCAACCCCGAGACCCGGCTTCCCCTACTGCCATCCCCCGTCCCCTACCTCGGCCCCGGGCTCGGGGGTCAGGAAGAGCGCGAGCTCGCGCGCCCCGCTGCGCACGGGCTCCGGCCGGTCGGCGTCCACGAGCAGCATCAGGAGCGCGACGGGGTCCAGCTGGCGGAGGCTGCCGGGGAACCCGGGGCCGCATCCCGGCCTCGGAGCCCCGCCCCCGACGGGCTGCATGCCCCGTGGCCCGCCTGGAGGAGGCGGGGCAGGTGCGCACCCGGCCGCGGCCCCGCGCGCCTCCCCGAACGCCGGGCCGAGTGGGCAGCGCCACCCAGTGGCACGCGGCGCTCACTGCGCCCGGCCCTCGCAGCACCTGGTAAAGCAAAACTTCTCGAACCCGCCTGCAGATTGCAATCACCTGGGACCCTTAAACCCTCCAAAGTCCCGCTCACACACAGTCTCTAGGGTTGGGACCTGGGCACCAGTATTTTCTGAAGTTCGCCTGGTGATGCCAACATACAGCCGAGTTTGAGAACCGCCAGTATAGACCACCCCTTTTTGTTGGAATCCGGGCGGAGCCACGGTTCCCAGCCCCCACAGCACTTTAGAAAGCCCCGGGGAGCTTTCAAAAGCCCGGAAGCCAGGCCTCACCCCGGCCGATTCAGCCGGAATCCCGGGGGTGGGGCTTGGGCATCAGTAGGTTTTAAAGCTCCGCGGGTGATTCCAGCATCCAGGATAGAGAACGGCCGTCCAGGGGATCCTTTCATTTAAAGACCAAAGCGCCCGCCCCCAAGGCCGCCCTAATTCCAGCATCTTGTTTGCGCCAGGCGGAGAGTCCTGGGAATTAGGGAAACCGGGTGTAGTGGTCCTTTTCCTCCCAGGAGCAGCTTTTAAAATAACCCGCCCAGGGAATTCGTAAATGCTCTAAGTTTGACCCACCTACCCCGCATACACACACACCCCTGGGAGGTTTGTGTAGACCCAATGAGGAAATCCGAATGAGGAAAATCCTAAAAATGGTGAAGAGGTATAGGGAAGTCCAGAGTTCTAATTTTTCCTATGACGTCCTTTTTTTTTTATGTTGCATTCGTGGAGCAAAATCAGGCTGGTCTTAGGGTTGTAAATAAATATACGCCACGCCCCTCGTTCCTCGCTCCCCTCCCCTCGCCCCCCTCCCCGCCCGGCCCCCGGTTAAATCTAAATGCAGAGTTTATCTGACAACCCTAGGTAGGGGACGTAAGCACATGCTCGATCCGTCTTGTGGGTGAGCTGTCAGCGTACGATTTGTACAATTCCCACTTCCACATCTGCTTCCCGCCCATTTCTCCATATCTCTGCCCAAACATTCGGGCCCTCAGGTCAGGGTCGCTTTCTGGAAAAATCTTGGCAAAGATTTGGGCCACAGGTGGTTCGTTAAAGGACTTGATAGGAACTCAACGGAACCTGAATTTGGCCGTTCATTACCGTCGTGGTTTTCCTGATGCTCAGAGCCCTGCCTCTCATCACACAGACACCCAGGAACCAAGCCCAGACCCTCACCCCTGCAGGTGGGCTGGGACCCTCTCTCAGAAAAGCCCAGAACTGACTTCAGATGACTTCAGCAAACTTCCCCTGGTGGATGAGACTCACAAACATAATGCTAAGAAGAAAGAAAAAAAAAAAAAAAAAAAAAGACAAGTTGCAGAAGGCTCCGTAGGGCACGCTGCCATTAACATAAAGTTTTTAAAAACATGCAAAACCGCACGGTAGATTGTGTATGGATACAACCATATGGAGAACACGTATAATGCGGCGCCTGGGAAACGTGCAGGCCACATGCAGGAAAGTGGTGGGGGGAGGGGATGGAGAAGGCTTATGAACGGGGTTTCGATTATATTTGTAACGTTTTCTTTCTTCTGCTGATGTTTGCTGTCAGAGTTAAACCTATTGAATGCCCAAAGTGACTCATTAAAAGCAAGGCAAATAAAAGGCCTGGGATATTACCTGAAAGTGCAGATTGCTCAGACCCCCTTGCCCCGGAGATGGGATATCTGGGGAAGGATCTGTGCTCTTCACCAGCCTCTCAGTGATTTCTACCCTGGGCTGAGTTGGCTAGCCAACAGTCATTTTGCTGTCAGGATTTTTTTTCTTCCCCCTAAATGTGTGATTATGCCTTAGAAACATTTTGCTAAAAATACAGATGCCCGGAGCCCTCCCCCAACTTTCTGAATCAGAATCTCTGGGGAGCTATAGGCATTTGCCTCTTAACAGCTTTGCAGTTGATTCTGATGCTCGCCAAAGTCTGGGAATGACCCCTATTTAGGGGCTCTCTCTTGCTGCGGGCATTACCCGGGGACCCCCGTGGGAGGCCACATCAATGGTTTTCAGCAAAGGGGACTGACTGTAAAAATCTCCGGGCCTCTCAGTGGTGCTTGGCTGTGCCCCAGCACCCTGCCCCTGGTCCCCAGCTCTTGGGGAGACCCAGGGGCACGCAGCAAGCCTGAGGCCTGGCATGCAGCCTGCCAGGGCCGCACCCTGCCCAAACCAGTTTGAACCAGCTGTAGGGATGGAGCCGTGGCGTGTCCCCACGAGCTCCCTCTGGCGCCCAAGCCCGGCTCAGAGCTGCGCCTCTGGTCTCCTGCTTGGGAGTCCTCCGCGGGTGCAGGCAGCGGGCTCTCTCCCAGCCTGGGGGGTGGGGGTACCAGTGGCCGCCAGGCCGGCGAGTCCCCCTGGAGCCATAGTAGGAGTCCCTTAGCTGGGCCCCAGGGTCACACACCCTGCCACCCCCCCCCCATCTGGCTTCACCTCCAGCTACAAAATGGTTGCCTGTTTGTGTCTTTTCAAGGTCAATTCTCCCAGTTCAGGCCTCAGGCATACAAGGTTCTAGATTAGCAATGTTTCCCAAGCTTGGCTGCACATTGGAAACTCCTGGGAAGGTTCCAGAAAATACTGATGCCCAGTCCCCACCCCAGAGATTGTGATTTAATTGGTCTGGGGTGTGGCTTTGGTTTGGGGACATTTAAAAGATCCCCCCAAGTGATTCTAATCTGTCCTATTCCAGTGCTTGCTTAACTATGTGGGCGCTGGTGACCCTAGGGTCCCTCCGTGTCTACAACAGTCCTCGCGGCTACTGTGTCCTGAGGCACTGTTCACAGAGATGGCCCCACTGAATCTCCACCACACCCTGAGAGGTAGGTGGGCCTTGCTGTGAGCCCATTTTACAGATGAAGAAACTGTGACAGAGAGGTTAAACCGCTTGCCCAGCATCATAACTAGTATAAGCAAGATCCAGGATTTAAACTCGGACAATCTGATTCCAGAACCCAGCTCCTAACCTGCTTCTCACACCATACTGCCTCCGACAAGATAAGCCCTTTGGGTTCCTGTTGCTGCCTCCCTACTCGTGGCCTGGCCTGTTAGGAAAGCCTTGCTGCCCTGCCCCTGTGCCAGCCCACCCTCTTCACTGCCTTCCCTCTACAGCACATTCTAGCCATCTCCCTTCTTGCTCTTAAACCTTCAGTGGCTCCCCAGTGCCCGCCGAGTGAAGTTCAAAGACCACACCCCTGGCCCTGCTTTGCCAATCTGTTTTCACTGCTATTCTCTTTGGACCCGAAATGACAAATGGGATCCCATGGAGCAGGGGGCCAGGACTCGGGGGAGGCAAGAGAGGCATGTGGAGTACGAACTATAAGGGGACCTCGCTCTCGGGGTGTCCTCACATTCCGTGCCCTGGGTGTCTTGCTTGCCTTACCTGAGTCCCGTCCCTCCCCAGATTCCTTCGTTGAACCTAACCCCCAAGGTTAGGAGGTAGGGCCTGTGGGAGGTGATCGGGTCATGAGACTAGAGCGCTTGTTAATGGGATTAATGCCCTTATAAAGGAGGCCCCAGAGAGCTCCCCTGCCCCGCCCCTTCCACCACATGAGGACACACTGAGAATTCCACAACCCAGAAGCAGACTCTCACCAGACACCGAATCTGCTCGTGCCTTGATCTTTCCAGCCTCTGGAACCACGAGAAATAACTGTTGTTTATAAGTCACGGTCTGTGGGATTTTGTTAGAGCAGCCTGAATGGACTAAGATGTCTGCAAACGTGTTTGGTATGGATAACATCATGTTTAAACATGTGTATCTTTTAATATGGTACACTTGTATTTTTTTAAGATGTATTTATTTATTTTAGAGAGAGCGCGCGGGGAAGGGGGGCAGAGGGAGAGAGAGAATCTCCGGCCCACTCTGCGCTGAGCACGGAGCCCCACGTGGGGCTCGATCTCACCACCCCGAGATCACGACCCGAGCCCAAACCACGAGTCGGACGCCTAACACCCCGCGCCACCCCGGCGCCCCGACAGGTAGTCCTTCACAGTTCATGTGGACATTCCGATTCCTGGCTCCTCCCGAGAAGAGGGGACAGATCAGGAAACCACGAGCCTGCACTGGGGCAGACCAGTACTTGGCCAGTTAGGGAGCTGCCCCAGTCTGCCAGTCTTCCGCGCCCGGCCCCCGTCTCTAACTGACCTGTTGGCCCCTGAAGGTGTCCGGGTTTCGGACCCCGGGGTCCCCTGGACGTGGCCCCCCATCTGCGTCCAGCGTTTCCAGTCTGCAACGCCCTACCTTCCCCGGAGCGGCCTCCGCCAGCCTGCAAGGACCCGTGTTCCCACCCGCAAGCAGATGTGCCCCTTAGGCTTGCTGCCTGAGACCTTCCACCTTCTAAACTGTAAATCCACCCCCAGACACCAAGTTCCTGGAGGACAGAGAACATGTTTCATGTGTTTTTGTTTTTTTTTTTCTTTTTCGCTGTGGGGGTCCAGCAGGCTGCCTTTGCACATAGGAAGACCTCGATAAACACATATATGTAAAATTTGAAGCCACTCTCCTGCCTAGCGTCTCTGTTTCCCACTAGCAAACTAATTTAGAACACAACCCCTCTTCAAAGAAGCACAGTGGAAAAACCAGGTTTTGAAATTGTCATTCCAGAGGGGCAGGACACAGCAAGAACGCGGTCCCATTCTTTCCCTGCAAAGGAAAGCTTCGAATTCTCTGCAGTCATTCGATAGGGTTTTTTTGTTTTTTTTTTTCCCTACCTCTTTCCTTTCCAGAACAGAGCTACACAAAGGGTCTCACAGCCTGGGAGGAAAGGGTCAAGGTTCAAACTGCTCTGTGCATGTCCACATTTAGCTCTACAGTGAGAGCCAACCTGGATTTGAGAAGCGAGAGGAGAATCACGGGTTTGGAGGAATGAGGGATTCTCCCC